CATACAATTAAATGAGTACCTCCACTTTTTATTCAACTCAATTCAAAGCTATATTTGATAATATTGGTGTATGTGGATTGTACTCATTCATTTATTTATTCCCCAACAACAGTAGGCTCTCTCTCGCTCTCTCTCTCTCTTCATGTGTATATATATATATATATATATATGTATATTTTTATGTTTCTATTTATATAATTACACAAGTCGTAACACAATGCCAAATCATCACAGCAATGTTTGGGTGTGCAGAACCGGAACCGATTTTGCACTACATCAGCATTAGAAATAACTTCCCATTCCACAAGTTGCATAAGTTATTTGACATCAATGGAATTTATTAGCAAAAAATTTGAAATGATGTGTCCAAATCGGCTAAATAAAAGCAGAGCAAGGAAGCCAACACACTCTTCCTTCTGCAGCACTGACATATATTACGCATTTGTCATTGGACACTCCGACGAATATTCTCCGTCAATCTTCTCCTACTCTTTTTTTTTCTGCCTTTCAATTGAGCAACAGATCCGTCCGTCCACGCTAACATATGAATGAACGTGGCCGAATACGGATAACATTCTCGTTTATCCACTTGAGGCGAATACGTCCAACGAACGGTTGGGCATCTTACCAAAATACTATTAAAAAAACGAAAAAAAAAAAATGTTCTTTCAACTGTCATGACTGGCCTGCCCGAGAATATAGATTTTTATTCCGATCCACGAAATGGAATTGTTTATTTCTAAAAATATGCGTTTTTTTTCTTGCACGGTGGAAGTATCCGCAGGGGAGGGCCCATGCTGTGTGTGTACCCTCCCTACAAGTTAGTTGAATCAGTTACTCTAATTTTTGAATACGATACCGGTCACGAAAACTATTTCAACAGAAGGAAGTGTCTAATAATAGACCAGTTGCCCTCGCCGGAGGAAGTTGGACAGTTGAAACCCAATGTGCACAATGAGAGAACAGTGCCCGCCAATTCCAAAGCCCCAGATTATGAATGTCCTGATTAATGCAGGTTTGCTGAACAAGGCAAATTTTGGCAATTGTATTGACACTTCATGATTGAGCATGTTCCAGGTGCAGTGAAATGGACAAAGTTAGTTCCTTACCCAGGTCCCAAAATTAGGGTTGGGGCTCTGCTGGGTATCCTGGGTAACTAAAAGCTGGGCATGAATGATGCAGTACCACAGGTTTGTATTTTCCAGGAAGCCAGGGGCGTACTCATCCATAAAATCCCCCTTGGGCTTATTTAGAATCTCAAAGCTCTACAGTGGTGGTAGTAGTAGTAGTCGTAGTAATAATAATAATAATAATAATACTAATATCTGTAAAAATAATCTAAAGGTTACATAAATATGAGTATTTTTTTCAAAAGTGATCTAGGCTTTGTTCCATGATTCCCTGTTTTGCATGCATGATTTTTGCATTTGTGACCAGTGGGGTTATCTGTGGTGGGGGAGAGTGGAAGGGGCTTTAGTAATTGATAGGGGATCCCCTATCTTCTTCTATTGGGGTGCCCTGTTACAAACACAAGCCCTACACTATTCTATATTCTTTTTTTATTCTAATTTTTGCTCACATTCTCACAAGATATTACATAGGGCACAACAAATAACCATTGAAACTGTGAAGAGAAGCTGGAATGGAAACAGGTGTGAAGCTTCATTGCCCCCCCCCCTTCCCCCCAAGTTGAGCAATTCTGGGCCTTTCAGCCAGCCATTGTTCATTAGGATAAAGATGCAAATGGCTTTTTGTGGCATTCAATAACGCACACACTATTAATCTCCTTTTCCACTTCAGTTTTGTGCGTCTTGGGTTGTTGATTGACTGAGTGGCCCATTGACGGTGCCCCCCTTGGTTGCCATGGGATAGATAGATAAACACAAAGAAGACAAAGAGGGGTCCCCACCTTGTTTTGATGGGCCATTGATAAGCAAATGGGCTCTGTGTAGTGTGTGTTTTTCTCCTTCCCTGCTTATGTGGGTTGTCTTTTCATTACTGGAATATTGTGATTGGTAGAACATGGGTTGGAAATTTCCTGGGTGGTAAAGGGTGGCTTGCTTGCCCATTCCACTTTGTCTGTGGGGGGAAAAAAAAAAAAAAAAAAAAAAAAAAAAAACTGATTAACTGTTATTATTATTATTATTTGAAAGAATGTCTGGTTTGGGATGCTGCTTTAATCTGGGTGTTTCATTAGAATAAAAGTAGAGAAAAGTAAAAGGAAGTGTGTGTGTGTGTGTGTGTGTGTTCATTCCATGGCAGATAATGCACATGATGTACACCTCTTTTGGGGAGTAGCCCAACCCTAAAGCCTCTCTTCCAAGGGACACACAAACCCAATTTTCTGTCCTCACACATAAATGGATCCATTATAGATATTGGTATGAAAGACTTGACCTTGTTGCAATGGCTCTCTAGTGATGTAGGGTTTCAGCCAAACAGGGTTGTGATATGAATCCATGAGGACTGAATTTGAAATTTGAAATTGTGGGAGTCTAGTTTCCAATGGGAAGGAATTGGCTTGAGATCTAGGCTTGAGAAGAAGGTCAGTTAGTTAGTGTAGGTTTAGGGTTATTCAAGTTTTAGGGGTGTGTTGCTACAGTGCTGCATATTGGCATCGACAAATTGAGTTGATATGATATGATATTTGTGGAAAACATGAATACAGGTTCATATTCTTTGATATGTGACAGGTATAGCATTATTAGATTGTACTGGATTTATTATTTTGGAGCCTGACAAGGGTGAAGGTAAAAAGAAAAAGAAAAAGAAAATAAAAGTGAAAGAGAAGTAAAAGAAGAAAGAAAAGAGAGGAAATGTTCACGATTAAAAATTGAGGTGAGTTTTTTATTTAAAAAAATACAGTGCAACATACACTTGTTGCACTCAGGGTTATGCAAAATAAGACCTTACTTTTTGAGTACAATTTGTTTTCTTCTAAGATTCACTTTTTGAGATTCCAAGCTTGACCCTTAGCATAAAACCTTTGAGACCAACTTCTCATCCAACTTATGAATTAAATTTGTGAATTGTGCACATCAATAATCTCCATTTGATCTTGGGTCATAATGTAAAATTCGGTCTCTTGTTTAATAAAAATTATGCTTGTTTAAAAAACATTTAAGGAACTTTTATCCGCAAAAATCTCGATTCAAAATTTGGTTTCTCCAATAAGATTATAAAAGCGATATAATTTTCAATCATTTCAAGATGTTTCAACTTGAAAAAACAAAATTCTTCCTTCACCTTTTGGCCAATGCTTCCGAGGCACATACATGGTGTCATTCAGGTGAAGCTGCAGCCGTCAGATCCCCATCCACACGTGAGGTCAGATCCTGTGCACGTGTGGATAGCCGGAAGTGGGATGCTTTGTTTTGACCCCTATCCTCCACATTAATGCAAAAAATAGAGTCATAAGAGAAAAAGGAATAGAAAAAGAAAAGTAAAGAAAAAGGAATAGAAAAATAAAAGGAAAGAAAAAGAAAAATGGAAACGATGAGGACTCAGAAAAGAGACATGGCGAGTTCATGTGGCCCACCTACTCAACTCAAAGGGTGTTGAAGTTGGCCAATCATATGGGTTCATTCCATCTTTCAAGTCAAACTTGAAGAAGTGGGTGTTTTTTCTTTTTCTTTTTTCTTCTCATTCCTCCGTTTTAAACTTATTTATTTCTGTTCTATTTTGGGGGGGGGGAGGGGATGAAGATAGTCATGGAACTGTTCAGCTAGGCTTACAAGATAGTATTTATAGAGCAGGGAGATAAGCAAGGCCTTCCATTTGTATGTATGGGGTGAAGGTGGATTCAAAAATTGAAATAATAAGCAATTACAAAAATAGGAGACCTGGCAGTTTCCTATGGGCTTGAGGAATCAATGAGTTGGAGATTCAGTGTGTTGGCTCTCTCTCTATGCTGTTTGTTTGGGTTGCTACCATCTTCCCCCACTTGTTTGGCAGTTTGGGAATTGATACATTTGTCAGCAGTTGGTTCATGGTTACAGCTAGAAATCTCACAGCATGTGCATTATATATATATATATATATATATGTATACTTCGGTTATACTCAACATTTGGCATCCAAAATTCCTCTTGGAAAAAAGATTGTTTTGCAACGTCTTCTAGTTTTCTACTGCAGTGAAATTTCATTACTCACAACTTCTCTCATTTTGGGAAACAAAGATTTGCACATACTTAGATGAAAAATCTGCTGCCTTTTGTCAAATTTCTCTCTCTTCACACACATAAAATTATGTATATTTATATATACATAGAAAGAGAGAGAGAGTGTGTGTGTGAACAAAAACAACAAAAAAATTACATTATGTTGTAATAATATTCTTGCTATCTCGAAACAATGTGCAGCCCAGGATTACATTCGAATTCCTATTAAGCAAAGATTTTTCTCGAAAGATGGTTCTGTTGCAGAGAGATTTCGAGTTGAAGAGGGTGAGGTATGCCTTGAAGGTTCTGCCCAAAACTTTGATCCCAGATCATTGTTATGATTTGGAGGTTTTTTAAAGAGGGAAAGCTAACTTTGCTACACGGATCTCGCCGAAGAATATCGATCGATAATGCTAGGATGGCGTGTGCTGAGAAATCTCCCCGAATCCATCCAACAATATGGTAGAGCAATGAGGTTTACGTGATTTGCTGCTGGCTCGTGGAGACTGATGCCCTCCACGGTTCCGCCATGTTAGAGCGACAAACGATTCCTCTGAAGATGCTCACTGCACGCAGCTGACACAGCGGGGAGCATCTGAGCGCGGAGGATCGCAGATTCATACATGTGTCCATGTGCTTCAGAAAACATTTGAAACATAGTTCGGGAGCACGAAGACAAATGGTGAAAGGAGAAGATTTTAATGTTGGTACGGAGAAGACGAATGGTAGCGAGAATGTCGAACTAGTCTGATCCAGTCTGGTGGGGATTGAATGGAAAGAAATGTCATGGTGCAGAGAATTGACGAGAAGGATTCGTCTATGCGCGACGCAAGATTGGAGTTTGATACAAGGCTGAGAACATTTTGCCACCATCAGATCGTCACTTCGATGAACTGGGTGCTACAATAAGCTGATTGCCCAATGTTGGGTGATTACATTTGATAGAATGGAAGGGTTCGTTCTACTCTGAAGGGCAGCCTTCGTATGCCAATAATTTTAGTATACAGTGTACATCTAATATTCTTCTACAATGTCATCAAAGCTGAGGCTTGTTCTTGCTACAACATCTTCTCAAACTTGTCGAGGTTGCGAATGCGGCGAACATTGTTTGCCAAGAGTAGCAAAAAGATACCTGCACATCCAAAGATACAACAGAGTGACATAGGTACTTCCAGGTTTTTTGCAAAAAAAAAAAAAAAAAAAAAAAAAAAATCCTAGTCTACATGATTATCCTCACCTTCTCAACTCTTGGAGGTAAGGAACTACAGGCAGTTACGAGGAATGATAGACCACAAGAAAGGGAGTAAGAGACTCTCAGATGTTATAGCTTACCAGCTCCAACAAATGAAGAATTTGAGACAGCTGTGATGCCTTGCGCAGTGCTCAATGTGACTCCAATGTTGGCTAATCCTACAGAAAAGAGGGAGTTTATGATTGCCTCTTGCATCACAGATGCTCGTCGTGCTGCCCTCTCCGCCTATAGGGCAAACAATCCATATGTCAGCTTTACATTTCAACGAGGAATGTGAAGCGATTCACTGACCACTGACCAATAATACGTGGAGTCTCAACTAAGAAAACCAAAGATTGATACCTCGAGGCTCCTGACGCGTAGCTTCAAGTCACCAGACTCTAGTTGCCGCATAATTTGGTCGACGCGTTGCACTCTCTGAGGCATTTGAACTGTTGCGTCCCTTGCCTGCACCCCAAGTAATTGTAGTTGTTTCCGCAACAAAGGTTAGAGGGAAACTACGATCGATATAAGAAATAAAAGAAAAACATACCAGGGAACTATTGTGATAGGTTATCAGGAACATACGTCATTAGCCTGCCGTTGCAATTCCTCAACAAAATACCGTGACCCATTTCTCTGCCCGTTCCGTGTGTCCAGCAGCTCCTGAAAAAGTACATGTGCACAGTGATGAGTGTGAGATTCATTATGCACCGTTTAAACGTCGAACCACTTCTGAGGCGTTGAGTAGAAACATAGTGCATAAATCACATTTTCAATATTCCCGTCACAAAGTTCCCACAAATGTTAACCATGCTGGAACAGATGAGCCCCTCGTGGATCTGATTCTTACCTGGGCATAAGGTGCAGCTATCTTTGCAAATGAAAAATCAGGGTCCAACGTATTACCAATTCCTGCCGATTCACAAGACGCGTCATATGCCATCACGAGCTTTCAGAAGAATGTTAAATTCAGCATTTTGTAGCCCATTCTTGCGAACTGAGAAGCATAAGTTCCAACTCGTGAATTTGTCTTGCATGAAAATGTATTAGTATAAAAGCTTTGAAGACAACATCGCTAGCGAAAGGGTATGAAATAAGTAGAAACCTTCAAGTGTAGAAAATGCCCGGAGCACGAACGTGAAAGTAGCTGGGAAACGGAATGGTTGATCCACCGCTATTGCAAACAAATCCTGACATCAGCAACACAGAAAAAGGTCAGCTTATGAAGAATGATGTAATGAATACAATCGCAAGAATGATCTTGTGACAAGTTTCCACCTCTCCAATGGCTGAAAAGGTCGCTGCTTGGTCAGGCTTCTGGTCCATCAAGTTATCCAAGAAATATTGCACTGATCGTCGCACCTGTTCAAAATCAGTTCACTTGATTACTCTCTATTCCTTACATACCCAACAATAGATATAAGATGCGCAAAACTGGTTCAAAGAGATTAATTAGTGCTTTAAAATCTAAAAAGATTGTCCAACACAGCCATGCTAAAAAGCTTCTAACTTATTTTCACTTTCAAAAACCTATTCGGAACTGACCGATCCCATGTCGCCTGTTGGCACTAGCGCTCCAAGGTCAATCAAGGCTTGAATAATTTTCCTTGCATCCTTCTCATACACAGCGTAGAACATCTCAAGCAGTTTCTCCCGTGTGAAAGACTTTATCTCACCCATCATTCCAAAGTCATAATAGATGAGTGAGCCGTCAGCATCCACAGCCAAGTTACCAGGATGCGGGTCTGCGTGGAAGAACCCTGTCCTCAAAATCTGTAAACAGACACAATGCGAATGTTCATTGCAACTTAACCGTAAGCTTTGGCCCAAGTTTCTACAAAATTTAATGCAGAAGAAGTAAAAACCGCAATGCGATATTTCAAACCTGTATCAAATAGGCTTCTATGGCAAGCCTGGCAAGCTTTGGTTTGTCAAAGCCGCCAGCATCCAGCAGCGCAACATCGTTGATTTTAATACCTGCTCAAAAAGAAAGATTGATAATTCGAATTCAATTCAACTGGTCGCTTAAATCTTGACCATCTGAGCTACTTAGAGTACAACCTAACATACAAACCATTAACTTGCTTTTTGGAATATCATCAGAGGTTTAGATGAGGATAGTGAGAATATTACCGGGTACATACTCCAGAGTCAACACCTTTTGTGATGCATAATCCCAGAAAACTTGCTGCACGTCGCAAACATACAAAGGCAGAAAAGGGATTGAATCAGAAAAGTTAACTCATGCAACTAAGCCGGGGACCATGAGTATGAGGTGTAATAACACAGCACTAGTCAAAGTATACGATGCTCTTCTAACACATACGTGGATCCAACCAGTGAAATTATGAACCAAGGAGGGAAAAAAATACTCACTGGCACTCTGACCCACTTTTGCTTTCGAAAATCCCGCCTAAACCTATCTGCATTGCGTCCTTCTCTCAGATAATCAATTTCCTGGTATAATATCCTGTTCATAAAGAAATCAACCAACCATGTCAAATTCATAATACGAAATTCGCAGAAATAAAAAATCAACTTATCACCAAACGACAAAAACCACCGCACTCTACAGCGTGGAAATTCTAACCCCTCCAATGGAGCCACATCTACTTACGTTGCACACTCCTCGTAGATGCCCAGCCAGTCTCTTGTAGGGCCTCCCATAGATTCACTGTTTTGGAAATACTGAGCAATCACCTTCAGATTATCTGTAAAAAATCAAATGCTGCATCAGTATCGCTGGTCCAGTCAACCGCGAGGCAATATATAATGCAGAGTACAAACCTACAATATGGGCAGACTTGAGATTAACCCCTACTTCCTGCACTTCAAATACGCGCACAAAAATTCTGTGTGAACACATGTTTCTAAACTTGGTAATTGGGATGAACTTTGAGTAACTTCTTACTTAAATCAATGTCGAACAATCTTTTCAGACCAGGTCTTTGAACTTTTACTACAACTCTCTCTCCATTGGGCAAAATTGCTCTGTGAACCTGCCAATACAGACCATCAAAACATCAGGTGGTTTTCATGGAGCAAGGATGCCAAAAATATCGCACGTTGAGAATACTAGAACAACTACCATTAAGATCACACCATCTTCGATACACAACAGCTGATATGAAGGAAATAGTTTCAATTTTGGTGAGCGTCGGAAGATAATCTAGATTGGGTAAATCCTTTAATAGCCTTCAATAGACTTCAAAAGTTCGAAAGAGAAATTTACCTGTCCAAGACTTGCTGCAGCTATGGGCTGGCGTTCAAAATCTGCAAACAATGCATCTACTGGCGCCCCCAGCTCTTTCTCTATGAAGGCCATTGCTTTCCCCGCTGAAAATGCTGGTACTCGGTCCTAGGAATCACACCACCAGGATAACGGTTATAGCAATAATCTCATATTATCCGATCTTGCTAGTGGCAATTTCGTATGTTATAAACAAGCAAAAAATTGAAAAAAAGAAAAACCACAGAATCAGAAGGTGTACTCTAAAATAAAACACTTCAAAGAACCGAGCACTCGTACAACACTAATCCTTAAACCCTAAACCTTCTAGAATTGAGTTTCCTAGTACTGGAAATTTACTTGAAGCTTTGCAAGCTCCTCCACAATCTCAGCTGGGAAAAGGTCTGATCTCGTGGAGGAAAGCTGTCCGAGCTTGATAAAGGTCGGTCCTAGTTGCAAGATCTTCTCTCTGACCCACACCGCTAAGCTTCTCCGCCGTGCTTTCTGCAAATAGGGATCTCACTGTCAATGAAAATAGTCGTCCAATCTCGTGTTCTTCTCTCGTTTGATGCCTCCCAGAGACTTGCGGGTTACAGATTCGCTGGTTACAATGAGCTTTGAGACGAAAAGGAATTCAGCACTGACCTGTTTCTCCTCTGTAAATCCACCGAGGTAGGTCCATTTGGAATCCAAAAACCAAACCCGTGCTCGCAAGGTAAGCACAAAGCTCCAAACATCAATCTGCCTCTGCGTTGTACTGTAATCATCCCTCGCCCAACTAAACCCTTCATCTGATGGTAACACTCTGAAAGCCCCCTCATTGTGCTTCCCTACATCAACTGTTGCGACAGAGCCCATCTTGGGGATCACCACATCGGCACTCATACTCTGATTCAGTTTACTAATAGAGATCTCATTTAACTGACGGCTCATTGCCACTGAATTGGCCCTTCCGTTTGTACTCCCGTTAGTGCTTCCGTTACTGCCTCTATTTGCAACGCCGTTAGAGTTTGCATAGGTGGTTCCATTGCTTGAACCCTTCGCTGCTCCTGTAGTTCAGAGAAAAGCCCAAATTTTCTACAGTCAATAACTTCACCACATTGCCTTAGAGCCTACTAGAATCAAGTCGTAAAGAATATTGATTGTCTGTTTTGGTTGATTGTATATACCATTCGTGGTGCCTTTTGCTTCAGACACAGGCCTTCTGCTAAGAAATGTGGCGCTGCGGCCCTTAAGAGCCTCTTCGATAGGAACCATGCGTGAGGTTGATCCATTGGAAGAAGAGCTGCCATTGTCAGCGGCACTTCGAACGCTAACGTTGTGACACTTCTCACCTCGCTTGCGACCATTGGTAGAATGCAAACGCTTCGGAGGGAAGCGAAGCCCACCTAAACCTTGACCTAATAGCAAATCAGTATTGCCGAAGTCACTGTTAAAGTGGGAGGATTTCGTTGTCAGGGAAGTGACCAAATATGCATTCACCGAAACCGCCATCTTTAGCTCGAGGCAGCAAGCTCGCTATTCTTCAGCAGATCAATTGCCTGTCATGCGACCAAACCTGTGAGTCAACATGATTTTATCCATTGAAAAGCAGAAGCCGATCTTGAACAAAAAAGCTAAGAAAGAAGATTTGAGTAACACGAGTCAGCAGTTCATTCAAATTGGCCATACATGCAACCAAACATGTGCGGAAGCACTTCATAGTTAAATACACAAATTCAATTCTGCATCCTGAGGGCATAAAACAATACCAATACGTCATCGGCCGGTACACCACTCTAAAATTACTTAATCACACTAATTCAAGGTTCAGGACATATGGGTTAATTACAAACTTTGAAGACTTGAAGCTATCCCACTTCTGGTACCAATTGCGGAGGGGAGCATTGCATTTGAGGTTCAATCATTCACGGCGTGTACTTCAACTTATTCAATTCTAGTTCAGTTCTACTTCCGCTCTGGTGTGAAGCTCATAAATTTCAAGGTTGAAGTTCTGATAATTCTGATTGATGGGTTACTCACACACGTCACACTCACACGCAAACGATTGGGGCCCACAACAGAAACTTGGTTCAGTAAAATCAACTGGACATGCCCAGTGGATAAGGACAATTTCAAAACCAGGAATAAACAGCCTTGACCCAATTAGCACTGTCTGCCTATCCGATAATCCTTGTAGTGCTAGAAACTTTTAAAATTCCACCCTGCAAGTTCCGCTCCCCAAACTGAAAAAATACCAGACCGACTGCAGCTTAACGTCGCAGAATTCTAAAATTTGACCACCTTCCAGGTTCATCAAAAATCAAATTCTCACCTTGCAAGACTAGAATCTGCTGTATCCCCAATCGGGAATTCCTCGAAATCGATGAACTCCCAGTCCACAAAGTCTCCAGAAAGAATCATACACAACCTAAGTAGCAGTCCAACACTGACAAAACAACCGCATACAGAACAGCTTCGTGTACTGTAGCGGATGGAGAGAATTTGTCCAACTGTGCCACAAACCAACTGAAGGTCAAGGGAGAACGCAAAGGAACAGAAATGGGCACGGAACGAAGCAGGGTTCGAGGTGAGGCACACTACGCAACGCAACCCTGAGACGACGCCCAGAACGCCCGCTGGACGACTCTAACACACACACAGCGGTGATCGAAAAAGTACTCCCGCACTGCGGCACCAAGTGAAACCATGGCACTCCTCGCTCTCACACCTCCCACCCTCCCCCCACACCCCCCGCTCTGTCCCGCTCGCGGTCCCTGGTTCGAAACCAGGGTTCAAGCTTCGCAAAGCGCCGTGTCGCGCGTGGTCTGGAGGAAATGGGTAGGAGGAAGGACGGGTAGGGGCAGGGCACGTCGCTGGCGTGGCGAAATAAACTCAGGCTCTCACGTGGGCCGCTTCTCGCCACCCGCGCTACGCTCTCGTCGTCCCGTTTCCACCTCTGCCCGTAGCACCACTGCTCCGCTGCATTCTCACCCTAGGAAGCAGAATCCCCCGCCTCTTGGAAACGCATTCATCCATATGTCAATACATTCGTCGGTCTGTCCATCTCATGTTAACACAATAAAATTAGACGATTATTTAGCATGTACAATTTATATTTTTGAAAAATTGTTTAGTTCAAATAGTTTCAGAAAATGTCTTAGTGTGGATTTACACGTGTCAATACATCTTGTTTTTATAATACACTCTTCGACTTTTTATCTTTGAAAGACCAATATTTCTCAAACTTGTATTGAAGAACTTGCAAGTTAAAATAATTACTGTCAAAAAAAAAAAAAAAAAAAAAAATCATTGAAGCAAAGATTAGAGATTTATTATTGCAATCATGCACGATTTCAATGTAAAGAAAATCAACTATGGATGAAGGAATAAAAAACCCAAAGTGTTTTTTCACATTTCAATACAATAAGAATGTGTTTTGGTTTTAACTTGTTATGAGGACTGTTTAGTGTGTACATATGTATATGAATATATATATATATATATATATTCATGCATCCATCAATCTCAATGCATTTTAATTCTATTTTTTAATATGGAAATTACATCTAAGAAAATTGTAATGATACTGAACCCAGATTCATAACTAGTCTATTAAAATAACTGTCACAATGGAAGTCAAAATAATCATAAAAAAATCATGATATTACGGTAAAACATAATTTGGAACATACTACTTAGATTGTTAAATTTTCTGAATAAAAATTCATAGAAATGAAATTGACATTAATCGTGTTAAGTACAGAAATAAAGCTTAATGGATACGAAAACTGCTTAAAATTTGTTATATATATATATATATATGCGTTTTCAAGATATTAATATAGCTAGCTTTTAATATTAAAAAGGTATTTGATGTATAACTTAATTTTATAGTCAATTGTGTACACACATGAGGAATTTCATAAACAACTTCCAACTTATGCCCATGTATTTACTTATACTAGAAAGGATCTTTAAACTGAAGGAAGAAGGTAAGAGTCCACAACTTATTTTTTTTATTTTGATTGGTTGAATTTGAAGAGCCTTCCTTAGTTGGTTTATACTTAAAGAAATTAGTGTAAAAGTTCTAAAAAATAATATAAGATGGCATGCACTTTTCTTCTACTTGACATGAACATTATTGTTTTACAAAACTTTCATAAAGCCCATTTTCCAAAGTACTTAAAAAAAAGTTCTAGAAGTTGTGTCAAAATTTGTTAAAAATAACCATTAAAAAAACAAAAAAGTCAATTTCTAAGAACCAAGATATGAGGTTATAAATATAGACTTGTATTTTTTTTGTATATGATTTGAACCATTTCATGACCTCTTCACACTGCATACTATACCCAAAAATCAAGATTTCCAAAAGAGAATTTTCCTTCACTATGCAAAAACTTTGGTCATTCTATTATATACCATGTACTTCTAAGTATAAAATCAAATGACTCAACTTCATCTGTTGAAGACTGTGTAGTAGGATTAAGCTCGTCATTTAGACTAATTGAGATCCACTCACGTGATTAGAACCACTTCGCTGTAATCAAGCTTCACGAGACATGCAAGCTGGGCTAGAGAGCATCAGAGAAATGTGGGTGAGATATGGTTTTCGTTAGGAATCCATGCTGCAATGCTGACCAAATGCAACTACCTTTAAATTAGGTTGGAAATTAAGCAGAGCACAAGTATCAAATGAGATAATCAGTTTCAAAGTCTGAAGCACTCTTCCGCTGCCTATCGTGCGCCGGGGGCATAATTATTCACTTATTGTCATCCGCCAGTTTACTCAATGCACCTGTACGAGCTCTCTAAAAACAAAGTGTCCCCGAGTCAGTTACCGATATTAATCCTGAAAAAAGTGTGCCATTGCAACGACACAAACACCCATTTTTATTTTTACTTTTTTATGTAGACAATGCATTCCGTTCCTTCAACTTTACAAGATTCAAGGTGAACGCGTGTTCCAAACCTACATAGTAAAACCTCAGCAAACCTCCAACCCCTAAAAGTTACAACATGATACTGCTTCACCTTGATGGGTTGTAGACCCACCTGACCATATTCTTATCGTTCGAAAGGCAGATTTCTGCCTTGAGAAACGATTGCTCTACTGATCCCCAATCTTAGCACATTTTATGGTATCTAAAATCCAAACTTTACAATGTCTAGAGCAATATGCATCGCATATCATCTCCAGTACATAGCTCCCTCGACAGGCAAGGTTCCACCGAGAGCTCAACCTTCTTCAACATTGGCCTACTGGGCTGGCAAAGGGACATCGACATATGAAATTGACATCAACTTGCGCCGGAACTCATCTTCCTCGTTACTCTGGTGAGTCGACTTCGGACTTGCTTTGTTCTCCACATGAGATTCAGGCGAGGCTTCTCCTGCTACTTCACCCTGTGAAATCTTAAGTAGTCGGGCACGGACCGATTCGTAACGATCCAACCCGCTCTTCTGATTCTCTGTTTGCTGCTGCTGCTGCTGCTGCTGCGACTGAGCGTCCTTGGACATGTCCATAGGCAAAACCTGTGGTGCCTCCGCCATATGGCCGATTTCCAAGTTTTCTTCACGGACTGAATTTTAAAATAAAAAATAAGAACAACAACAGTAAATGATCAACACGATTGTTTGTAGAAGACCAAAAGAAGCTTCTTATTACCTCAGAAACTGGCACGAAACCCAGAAAAAAACCACAATCGAAACAACCTGGCCCACGACTGCTACAGCCTTGCTGCGATTTCGATCAAACTGCCCAAATGACAACTGTGGATTTTCAATCCACGCACCTACGACCGTAGGCCCACGCAACTTCACAGCAGCAAGAAAACAAACCTCCACAATCTAACGGATCATCAACAACTCAGGCTCGTCGCGTCACAGACAAAACCATTCCCATCTCTTTGCTCTCGTCACCACGACCAACACTTAAAACACACCAAAAACCCAGTTTTGCAACAGAAAACAGAGTTCGAAGCCGTCAAAGCGCAAGGTAGTCAGAAAACTAAGCTGCCTGGAAAACCATGTCGCTCTAAAACGGAAGATTCTAGAATCCGAAATAGTCGCAACACATACGAGAATAATGCACACGTCGACTGACTGATCCCCCTACCTGTAGAAGAAGGGACAACAAAAATCCACCAAATTCGAGAAGCTGCTGCTGCAAGAGGGATAGATACTAAGTGAGAGCCCAGGTACGCACGCAGTGATCGATCGCTACTTCCTCACTAATCTGTAAATGGACAAAATCGCCGAAGTGTTCGATGCCATCTGCTTTGCTTCTAGGTCTCGGTGTCGCAGTAGTCGGCGCGCCACGCGAGGAATTCATTTTGCGCATACTGGAAAGCTCTATTTACATACATTCATCTACAATAGATAATGAATGCACATTCATCTACAACAGATGATGAATGCACATTCATCGTTTTCGTAGACAAGCACCATCCTGGTGGTCGGATTCTGTTGCGTGGATTCCGGACCACGACGTTGACACGTGGCGCCTCTTCATGGATGAATGATAACGAGGTCCATCTGATTTCAGCAATTGGATGAGGGTTAGGGTTCATCTGGATGGATGGACGGATGAAATATGTGGATGCTCTAGGTAAGTGTTGGATGTGTATTTTAAGGGTTATATATGGAATGTTTGTGTTTTTATTGTATGACCCATTTTGTAATGAAGTTTCATTTGTAATGAGTAAGCCCATGTATTTGATTCTCATTTGCTTTCATGACGTGAAGTTATTAAATAGAAAACTCGTTTTATATATGTGAGATGCCAGCTCTTTTTTGTTTGTGTATTAAGGTATGTGATGTCTTCTAGTCAATAAAACTACGTTGTTTATCTTGAACTCAATGAACTGAACTATATATATATATATATATATATATATATATATAAGCTTTTCTTTTTCTTTTGAAGACTGCAAAAAATATTGATTGATTACATCTATCTCTTAAATTCTAATGATTTCATTTTATTGGGGAAATTATGTTATGTTTTAAAATAAATAAATAAATAAAAATAGACACTTTAAACCATTCAAATAAACTTGCTACCCTGATACAGCATGCACAACTCTTAATTGTCTACAATGAAATATTGTTTTTGTAGTGTATAAGTATATGTTTAATTGTGTTTATTATATATATATATATATATATATATATATATATAAGTAGAATAAACTAATCATATGTTAAAAATTGTCATTGTAATTTATTCCAGTTGTAGAAAGCATCATGTATATGTGTGTGTGTGTATATATATATATATATATATATTCATATAAAGAATATCATGGCATTTGAGTTTGCACCCAGGGGCTTACTCATTACAAATGAAACTTCATTAGTGAAACAGCTTTAAGTAGAATATTTAAGTAATATTTTTTGAATCAGTTTTTTGAATTTCGTCCACAAGCGTATGAACAAAAAAATCTTGATAAAAGTTGGTGAAGTTGTATAAATTATATATGGTGCTTTGTTAAATTAAGCTTGACCATGTCTTTCTTTCTGATACACAAAAGATTCTAAAATTACAATACATGTATACATATATTATGTGTATTTTATAAAGGCACGTGTTTGGCTGTATACTACCTGATTTTTAGAATAGTCTATTATGAAATAAGTATCGTTACAACATATTTTTTATAAAATATCTTAAAATATTATTTTATTTCAAATAAACACAGTTAATCACTTAATCAAAATAGTATAAAATTTCAAACATTCACATATCCTGCATCAAAAAATCAAACAATCTAGTATATATTAATAATATAGTTGCTCAGGAAACTCACCAAAAATTAATTTATTAATCAATCAATAAAGATCAATGATTTCAATAATTTATTTTACTTGATGATTTTTTCCATACTAATAATATTTGAGTACATTATGTTGCAGAAGTCAATTATGTGAATTAAATTTATTACAAAATATGTGTGTGTAAATGTGTGTGTATATATATATGTATATATATATATATATATCAGTAATTGATAAATCATAAAACATTTGATATTATTTCAACACAACATTAATTTTCTATTGATCTACTAATCACAAATGTGAATCAAAAATTTTTATTCTGTTTTTAATTCTGTTTTATATTGATTTTTTTTGTTGTTATTGACCAGTATTTTGCAATGCATTATTAAATGCAATATAATCAAGAGTGAAAATGTAAATTATTAAAAAATACCAAAATTTATGTGATATTAATTTTTGATTCACTTATAAACTTAATATTATAAAAAAAAACTATAGGAACATTATTAAAAAAATCTCAAATTATTAAATTAGTTAAACAAAATTTAGAGATTAAATAATAAACCACTATTAAAAAATATAAAATTTAAATGAATAATTTATGCTATTACTTGGACTTTTGGGGTGACGAGTAATCATAAGATAATATCCTAGAAGGTCAAATGCATCACACACTATGATAGGAAAAAAAAAAAAAAAAAAAAAAAAAACATTGTCTATTAATTTAGCCTGAATCACATGGCTTTAGGTGCAACATAATTCTACCTTATGATGCTATTGCTTAATACAAAATAAATATTGGATTAATTCTTGACTATTCTATTGTATTTTTTCAAATTCTTAAATATTCTTTTATCTTACTACATCCTTGTTAATTTTGGCAATACCATAATAGCTTATTATTTCTTTATTTATTATTTTATTTATGCTATGCCATTGGATTATTTTAGCAAGTATAATATCCTGAACAAATAATATATCTGAAGGCAAGTGCAATCACTTTAGGTAGATAACATTTCACTCTCCGAGGTATGTCACATCTTTTTTTTAGGATGATTGTGACACAAAGAAGTCTTTGGCATCATTTTGCAAGAATGGGGCCAAACACTGCAAGGTGATTTTTATCCACTGAAAAATTTCTATATTGCCATGAAAAATCTTTATTAAATATAATGATGTTTGTTATAGGTCTTTAATACATGTAAATAGATGTTATAAAGCAATTTAATTGTTGGCTCTTTGCAAAACAAACAATCTATCAAGTTGGTGTGTGTGGCATGTTGTTTGGTTGTTGTATGCATCTTTATTATTGAGCATGTATTAAATAGCCTAAGTTGCTAGTTGTTGCTTCTATAATATCATCAATGTTGGTCAAAATTCATACTTGGCTTCTAACACGTCAAAATTAAGATCAAATTTACTATCCAAAATTTGTAATTGATTTTCACAATTGCTCATTTGTTTGTAAGATATACAAAGTAAATTAATACCTTTCTTAATTTATTTGAGATATAGGGTTGATTAAGTGGCTGATGGTGTGACAAGCACAAACCATTCTTTATTATCACCAAATCAATTGGAATCAAGGTGGATTTGCTCTAAGCTTACTCTACCAATATGGACAAATTTTGTTCACCTATAATATTCAATTTTTGTATTGAACCTTTGAACTTCGTATATAATTCAATGATTCTAGATTGAATGTTACTTGCACTATTTATAATATGGTATTAATTGCTTATAATTCTTTGATTCAAATTTGAGCAATATATTTCATGGCCTGGAAATTTTCTTGTTTTTATTTTTTGGCTTGAAATTTGTCCTACAATATTTGTAATTTTCCTTTGTAGTCATACAATCGTACCTAAGAGCCATAAGTTCATTTTGCTTTTGGAATATAATGCAGTCTTTTTTCTTGAGCTATAATTACATGCTTTCTATCTTGCGTTGTACTTTGCCTTGGTCCTAGATACTTATGGATGTCAGAGGTGCATTGCATAGCTAGATTAATTCTTAGTGTACTTGGTCAAGTTACATTTGTATCACTATATTGAATTTAAAATATTCTTAGATCATAGCTTAGACATAATCTTTGCAATACTATAACCTTGTGGTTTGTTTCTTACTTAATATCATTAATACATAGATATTTTGTTATAGGATTTTATATTATAATTAGATGTCATGAACTATCACTTTTGAATCTATTTTTAAAGGATTTTTTTTCCATTGAATTAATTAAAATGGTACTAAGATTAATGTTGGTATGGAATTTCTTCTATTTGAATGTTTGCCATACAAAATATGAATGTAGTTGCTTTCGGCTAGGAAAGGCTAAAGAACTTGCAAATATGATTTATCATGATATTAATTCTAGATCCTTTTTTTACAAATACATTAGTTAGTTGATATTTTTCAATGAGAATTTTAATAACTACAACATTGAAATCAATTATTATAGCATTTAAGTCTATGACTACTTATTGTGATGAATTTAAATATGCCTTATATTTTAATTAAGTCAATATCTTAGAATTCAATTTAATAACTTAGCTAATAAAATAGTATATATATTATTATTAAATATATTATTAATTATATTTTCTTCAAAATTAAAGTCAAATGATTTTGAGACCATGTTTATATGTAGCTGCTATTATATTTGTTTATAAATATTTTTGAGCAACTTCTAATATTCTATAATATTTGTACAAGAAGGTTCTTATTTTATCTTTGTTGGTGTTTTGAGCTAGTGTTGATTAACTCAAATTCTTATAATAAGACACTCAGTTTGTACCATTAATATTTTAAGTAAGTGTGGCTCTTTGATGCTTGTGATGGTTATTTTGCCTTGATATAAAATTTGCTAATTTTGATACTTTACTTATTATTATTTTGTATGATTATAATTGTTAATTTAAAGTTTTTTTTCTACATTGAAAACATAAGCATATTTGTATTAATTGGTAGTTTGATCTTTTATTGCATTGTGGATAGAACATATTGCATGCAATTTCTTCCTCTATTTCTATAGTTACAATAATTAGTTTTTATTAAGTATCATTTAAATATCTATTAGATTTAAAATATCTCACCAATAATTTTTAAAATGTATCTTATGGCAATATTTACACATGTCTCAAATATAAATATTTATTTATTCCAATATTTACTTAAATATTATGAATAGATAAAAGTAGATTAGTTTCATGATATCTTATAGGGAAGCTCTATAGACACAATTTCACTTTTATACAAGTCTATAGGTGATTAGTAAGTTAGAAACTTAGCCAACAAATTAGCCTTATATTGCATGTACTAGTAACTTGT